AGGTTTAAAAAAGAGAATTCTCAGGGGGGGGTTATTTTGCCACAGCTCAGTGCTGTACAAAATGTAAAGGAACTTACTGCTCTTCCAAGCAAGAGGATTCCAAGAGCAAGGAGAAAAAGCTGCTGATAGAGTTCTTTCATTTGCTTACTTGGTGCCAGATGTTACCGAAATATTTTACCCAGACCATTATAGATCTCCCCAAGGTAACCGAGCGCTGAAATATTCACTCTTGTAGCAGGTTCTTCACTTTGTTCACTGAGTTTGTTTCATGCCAGAACTGTGGGACACGGGATTCATCAAGTGGAACTGGGGGTGGGATAGGAAATAAAATAGTGGCACCGCAGATCTGGAGACGCAAATTTGGAGCAGTGCCACGTTTTTATGAAGCTGGTGAGGGGCAGTAACTTGGTTGCCCTGCCAGCAGCATGGGGATACCACATCATGTGTGTCACTGAAAGGGAAAAATCAGTGTTAGAAGTGGAAATAAAGCTTAGCTCTTCTTGTCATCACATGGTTGGTTATCGTCCTTCGTAGGAACACACTGTTCGGGTTTTAATATGGCAGCTGCTCCAGGCCGTGGTGTTCCCATTGTTTTCTACACAGGTGTGTAAAAGGTATTTGCTGTTAAACCTGAAGGCCATTCAAGGAAACAGAGAGTCAGAAGGTGATATTCAAAAATGGGAGCTGACTGTGATAATCACAGACTGTCCCTTGGCCCAGCTGTGCCCAGGGGGCTGCAACTGTCTCGCATGAAATTCAGGCAAAAAGTAGGACAATATGGCAGATTACTGCTGGTGTAATAAAAGAGGGATCCATTTTTTAAAACTAACACATTCCAATTTATATTTTATTGGTGAGCTTTTGGAATTGCCTGTGGTTTTTTTCTTGAGGACTGAAGAAGCTAGGAAATGTGGCTCTACTTCACATCCTGCTTGGCTTTTTTCAAATCACATAGCAAACAAAACAAAGGGAAAAGGATATTAGCATGCTTACTGAAAAATAAAGTCCAAGCCTTTTATATTCAAAGGAAACAGAGGCAATTACAGAACAAAAATTGGAGCTTTTTACACGTCTAACGTGCCTGGAGAACAGGGGAATGAAAATGTGAGTGCTGTGTTGTTTGTTCTTTGTAACTAAAGAACCTGAACTTCCAGGTCAGTCTATAATCACCTAATTTACGTGTTCTAACCCATTTTTGTGTGTTCTAGGCCATGATAGTAGCAATACCAAAAGTAAGATTACCTGGTTATTTTTTATTGTTATTTTGAGGTGTTGTTTTCAATGGCTTATTTCTTTGTCGTACTGAAATGTGCCGTGGTGAATACATTTGGGCAGGGCTATTCCAGCAATTTTAAATGACCCAGCATCTTGAAAATGACTTTAAGAGAAAGTAAATATGTTAATTTAAAGGAAAGGGGGATGCTTCTTACTTAAGAGCATATCAGCAGTTGAGTTCTGGAATTTGGCATTGGAGAGAGAGAAGGTCAGCATTCACATGGAGCATGTGGCTGTTCCTTGAGAAACTTCAACAAATCATAAGCTCTTGGAAAACCTGGTTGATGTATGTTACTGGACAAAGATTTATTAACTAAATTATCTGAATATTCCATGTAACATGAGTGTTTTCCTGCCTGTTGGTCCTTGCATGTCCCTTGACTGTGGAGTCATCCTCTGGACCAAGTGGGTAACAAGATGCGTCCCACAGCAGTAGAGGATGGATAAATTTAATCCTAATAGTCTTTCTTTACCTGTGCTTCTCCCCCAACCCCAGAACACTTAGGCAGCAGTCCTGCTCCTGGTGGGATGAGGGCTGATGTTTGGGGAGAGGTGGGAAACAGAGTGGGGCAGGAAAGGAAGGATTTTTATTTAATCACCATTTTGAAAAGAAAATAACAGTTTATTTTAGGGCCTAAACTTAGTAGCAAAACAAAGTTGTTCAGGTTTTACCAAATGCTAGAGTCAAAAGAGGGATGGTTCTGGAAAAGTTAGTGGTGGATTGGAACTGGATTTGACAGAGGGTTGCTGGACTAGGATTTGATGTGACTCAATTTATTCACTGGTCCAAGTCAATGCTTGATTCATTAATGGGGTTGTTATTCCTGAAATCATAAAGGACATAAAAATGAAATAGTTGATAATGCAACATCTTGATCTTGATGAAGTGTTTAAATGCCAAAAATGCATAGAAGGGATTTTCTTACCCATTCAATATCCAAAGTCCATTTTAAATGCAGTTATTATTTAAATAAAACTCCTCTTCATCCTTCAACTGTACTCAATAGTGTTAGGAATTCAGTCTTTTACAGAACGAGTATTTGGAAACTTTTATGATTTTATAATAAAAATGTTGGAAAGCACAACATATGTTTACATAAACTGCTAACATTGTAAAGTATTCAATAGCAATAAAGGCAGTGAGACTGGTGGTTATTCTGTGTCTTCTTCATGAAACCACAAAATATAAACACAAAACAAGATTAACTTCAGTCATAGTTTATTGGGTGCTGATGCAAATCATGATTAAAATAGGATTTCCTGTTGCTTTGACTTAATTTGTCTGGCAGGATATGGTTCTATGAGTGTCTCCAAAAGCAGGAGATTCACTGCAAGCTTGTGTGGATATTCCAAAGGCTTCAACGGCAAAGGGATGAAATTGTGTCTAGTATATAAGCAACCCTGTTGTTTATCCATGTGTGGAATGCCAGGAGATATGGAGGGTGGAGTTCTCTCTTTTTTTTTTTTTTTTTTTTCTTTTTTCTTAATGGAATTTTTTTTGAAAAAGTAATTAAATATCATTAAGTAAGACAGTTGTACCAGGATCAGTTCCAGCTGTGGAACTGCTGGTACACGTCCTCTGGTATGTGAGAGGTGTTCATAGCCTTTGTAGTGCCACCCTCTCTAGGCACTGTGTTCTTGATTTTTGTGTCCAAAATGTTATAACAGCACATTGGGTAAAAGCCAAAGGGGAAAAATTCCTTCTCTGTCATGTTACAAGAAATATGTGTGAGGATTCATGATGTGAGTGTGAGGATTCACACACTGGAACCATGAAAAGTCCTTTAGTTTGCAGTGTTAAGAAGACAGAAAGAAAGGAATCTTTGCTTACTATGTGAATATTGGTGATGGATGAGGGAGTGATGGCAAATATTTTTGCTCCCTCATACCCTAATCCCTCAGGAGTCTTGGAGCAATTAAAGGAGGTTTCATTTCCCCCGACTTTTGTTTTTCTCCTGCCAAAATTGCTGCTTAGTCCCCATAATTCCTTACTTTATGGAGCTAATAAAGCAGGGTCAAATTACAGTGTGAATTGGGCAGGGGAAACTGAGATGGTGCAGGAAGTTTCTTGAATTTGAGAATCTTTTGATAGTCAGAAGAATGAGGTTTTTCATTTTGGAGGAGGTAGGAGAGCAACCTGAGGATTTCCTCCTGTAATGCAAAGAGCTACCTGGGGGCTGGATACCTGGGATACTGAGGTGACATTATTTTGTGACTGGATTGAGTAGGATTCCTCATCTTTCTTGTCTCTGTTGTTAAGAAGTGCTGTGGTAAATTGGTGATGACATGAACCAGGAACATAAACCATGATTATGCACCACTTCCCAGGAAATATGTCGGTGTGCACACGAAGGGTGTGTGCAGAATTAGGAGCTGGAGTTCCTCACAAGACCCAGATGTCCTTAATTTTACTTCTGTTGTTGTGCCTTGAGAAATTTATATGATCTATGCATCCTTAATATCCATTTTATCAGTTAACTGTATGTGCAATTTTAGCTTATAAAGTGGCATGTTTCATAATACTTTTATTTTTGTATTTGGTTCCTGCAAGTAGGAGAATTTCCTGATTTAAATATACCGAAAGCAGAGTTTACAAACGAGTGAATTGCTAAAGGAACACAAGTCTTTTAATGAGGTAGTTTGTTGTTTGTCATGCTGTGTGACATTGTGTGGTGATGCTTGGAAGGTGGTCTGTGATATAAATATTTTGTGTGGCATGTTAAGTTATGAAATGGGGGGGATATGAAAAGAGGATGCTATGAAAGATTAATGAGACAACAGAGCAGTATTATATAGTGTTGGAGAGATCTTACTGAATGAAATCAGTGCTATGTAGTATGTATATTCAAAATCCTACATGCCAAGAAAGGCTGGTGGTAGCTTTTAGTGTAACCTGTATCTCTGCAGAAATTCAAGTTTAGTTGTGGATTTTAATTTATTTTTAGTTTTCGGTTTCCTAAAGTGTAATATGCATTCAGGTTTTTTAATGTAATCTCATATTCATTAAGATTAACATATAAATAACTCTGTTGCACCACCAAACAATAAAGGGAAAAAAGTGACACAAAGTAAATCTCATTTTACTGCAGCCAAAAATTGTTTTTGTGGCTTTTTAGGGCTTGACTCCCAGGGCAATTGACAGCATAGCTGTTGTATAATAACTATGTAGCTGTATCTGTGTGATGGAACTCCCTCAGGCTGGTATTATGTTCCTGAACAGGAACATCATCTTTCTTAAAAGTATAATATTCTAAATAATGACTGTACTTTGTAAGTACATAAGACAGAGGAAATGGAAGCCACCTTGCTGCTGAATGAGGAGAACATTGTCATTGAGCACAGCTTTAATAAACTTGTCTGCATCAACTTCATATTGATTTGTTTGTCTTAATTTCACTGAATGACTCTTCGTGGGCAGGTTGATGGAGATCGATAGCTACTGCAGCAAAGGTGGAATGAATCCTGGGTGGCATGTTGTCATCTGTACTCTGCTTACTTCTTCATTATTATTATTATTATTTGAATCTATAAAGATACAAATGTATCTGGATGTCTGCTAATATGTGTACGTGTGAATGTACACACAGGTCTTTGCTTCTTCCTGGCTGACGTGCGAAGTGAGAGAATGATGGAAGAGAGGGTTCTTGGCTGATTGACTGGGCAAGTTCATATTTTGCTTTGTGGTGAAAACCTCAACGGTGATTCCCTTTCTAAGAGACAAAGCAAGTTGCCCTTCGTTTTGGTTTCATAGTTAAGTATCTTTATTATGATAACGTAACTTTAAAGCTCTTCAGCAAGAGGAGTAGAAGGAAAACACAAACTGGCAAGAGCAATTCCTGTTTTAGGCTCCACAGTGCCTTGGTGTTGTCTCCATCCTTTCACAGGTGTATCTGCTCCCTGTTCTTGCCCCCACTGAGATATGCAAGAAGACATAAAGTGCAAACTCAGGTCTCTCTTGTCTGGTATGTTTTAGGGTAGACAGTAGTTTTAAATGCTGTCAAGTGTCTCTTGGAAGAGGGCAAGATGACTGCAGTGTCCCCTGGCTCCTTCTCAGCCACACCTTTCCCTCTGCAGCACCTTTCACTGGGCCTGTGTTTCTTTAGCACCTCTTTCTTCCTGCCCTCCATATCTCATAAGCTGTCTAGAAACTTGCCTATTTCCAGAGTTTCAGCTGAGGGCTTTGCAGGCAAGAGCTACTTCTTCATGCATTAAGTATTTTTGACTGACCAGAAGTGGCAGCAGTGGCACCACTGGTTCGTTGCTGCAGTTGTTTCTGAATGAAGGGAACAGGTTTTTCAGATTTGCAGTAATTCTCCTTTATGTCTGAGACAAGGAATAGATATTTTATCTAATTATCCCAGTTTATCTGGCAGTGACCTACATTTTGAAGATAATATGAATAGTGAGAAATCCTCTATTTGAAAGTAGACCATTAAATTGAGATGGGTGAAAATGAGTACCAAAATTATACAAAATACATGGTGTGTGAAGAAGGGAATAAGAGGGTTACACTGTCTTCTCAGAACAGAATTGAGAAGCTGCAAAAATGGGAGAAGCACATTATTTGACAGTTTAAGAAAAAGTGGTAAGAACTTTTAATGTCTTATCTGCTCCTTGAGTCTTCAAGACCAGGTGTATGTGTCACTTTGGACTGAAACTCCTTCTAGCTCAGTGTTTAATCTCTTACCAATGGCTGAAATTTATACTGCCTTAGAACCTCTCAGAGTGTCTTCCCTACTCTGTTTAGAACAAAGTTTCATGAACCAGAGTTGGCATTTAGATTGTGTCTAGGCCCTTAGAATTTTGCTTTTCTATGAACTTGTCTAAAAACCAACACGTGCATAAATTTTGGTTCTCAAATCCAAATACCAACTTCCTCTCGCTTTCAGAAATGCTGGAGTTACTTTCACTCCAGTTCTCATGCAGTTGTGGACTTTGTGAGAAACAGATAATCTGGTTCAAGATCTGAGCTGTGTGTTTTAGCCATCATATCATTTCAGGTGGCCTCTGTGCAACCTCAGTGCCTGGAACTTCCCCTGAGATGGTTTTTTAATGCTTTTCAGCAGTTGTGTTTTCTAAATATGTTTTCACAATCTTTGCTACATTGCTATCACAATCATTACTGCTTTTTTTAAAGTAGCTTCAATGTATCAAACAGGTGCTATTGAATACAATAGGAGTCATTTTAAGTGGTAATTTTTTTAAAGCTTTTTAAAACTGCTGAATAATCCTGTAGCAGAACCTGTGTTAGCAGAACCTGTGTTCCCAGAACACAGGAGCCTAACAGTGGCCCATTCCTATCATCTATTAGTTTTTATCATGTAGTAGATTACTTGATCATGCTTTGATTTTTACCATGGAATGTATTCAAATGATTATGAAGGAACTTTAAATGGGGGGGAGGAAGGTCTTTCACCTCTCTTGGTTTCGTGCTTAATTTTCACAACACTGGTGAGTTTTTCCTGTCTGCATTTCGTAGTTTTATCTTTGGGATGTGCCTTGTCTAGTCTTAGCAGGCAGACACTGAGCCATAGAGTAAAATATGAAGGTTGAACAGTGAGTGAGTTATTAGTCCACATGGAGCCTTCTGTTAGAGGTGTCAGCATACACAAAGGCAAATATGGAGAATGAATGTAATAAGATGAAGGAAAGTGCAGATAATAGCATGGGATACGGGTGTGATTAGAGGTTATTAACAATGCAAAAAAAAAATTTGCAAAACATGCAAAAAAAAAATCCTGTCAGTTCATTTAAATTGGTGAGGGAACCACATAATAAACCAGAATTTTTTTTTAAATCACATTCAGTCTTAGAAAAGTTTGTTCTGTGTTGTTTTCCTCTTCTGATTATTTTTCTGTTGGTTTTTAGGTTTCTGCCCTCGACGTTGTACGTGACGGGCATCTCTGCTGGAACAAGATCATGTCTTCTTCAACCCATTGAAGGAAAGGGGTGAGCAGCTTTCTCACAGGCAATATTTTATCTCATTTAGAAAACAGTTTGCCCTGGAAGCAAATACCATCATGTATTGTGTTGAAAAGTGAAGCCAGTTCTAGATGCTTTTCATGTGTCAAACAGACTTGCTATTCTGACTTTTGTTTCTTTTTAGCTCTGTATGTGAATGTAAGGATTTATGTTATGTAGCAAGTGACAGGACTAAAGTTAAATAAGAATGAACAAAAGAGCCATGGTGAATCTGCCAGTCATCCAGTTCTCTCTGAAGGACTTCAAAGGAACATGTATGAGGGAAAATTAGAAGGAATGATTACTTGTTAACCAGTCTGGTGGGTAGTTTCTTCACATCCCTAAGAGGGTTAGTGGTTAGTTTATAGCCTGAAGCATAACTATTTATATCTCTTACAAACATCTGCTTTAGCTTGTATATGTTAAAAAACGATACCACTGAACTCCAACAGCTTACTTGCACCTTATGTTAACGTTACCGGGTGGTCCCTTTGCTCTTAATTACAAAGGAGTAAGTAGAGCAAGTGAGGAGTGATGTATGTTAAGTGATCACTTTGTGTGCCTGTTTCAGCTCACCTTTAATCTCTTCTCCTTGGATATTCAGCTTGCATAGAGTCTCCACATTTCTAATTATGATTACTCCATTTAGCTTCCTCCCTGCTTTACATTTTACTTCTAATTGTAGTAAAGGCCTGCTTTCTTCCCCCCTTTGCTTTGTAGAACACAATGCTTTTGTGAACTCCTTTCGCCACAGATATTGGTGGAGCCTCTAATTGCAGTTCATGCATCAGCTTCCAGTTACATGACCTTAAGTGTTTCCTTGGGTTTTCCACATGCTTTGCTTTCAAAATAAATAGAATGGGAGTTAGTTCTGTTCTGTGTGAAGCAGACTGGCAGACTCACCCTCGGGTTGTTTTTGGTATTTGTAACTCTCTGACTATAACACAAAGGCACAGCTTTCCTTCAACTCCCGATTCCTTTCACAAAGAATAATTGGCATTTTGAAAGCTAAGTTGTCCAGCAGTCATATGTTCTTAGGTTCACCTCAGATACCCAATACTATATGGCCTAAGGTATAGCTGTGCTGGTTAAAGATGGTCTTGCTGTGAGTTGAAAATCAACACACTTGAGCCAGAAATTACCACACGAGCAGGTCAGCCAAGAGCAGGGGTTGTGTGAGTGCACAGCAACGTGCCTGGGACAAAGTCAGCTGGTTTCCATCATAGCCACCTTTAACACAGGGCTGGACTGGCCTGCCTGACTTGATGTAAAAAAAAGGATCAGAAACTGCTCACGTGCTCTGTGAGCTCAGTGGTGGAGCTGTGGAAGTAATTAGCTCTGGCAGGGTGGCACTGATAACAGCATCGCTGTCTGCAGAGTGAACATCTGCTGGGGCTGTGTCTGCTAACGAGAGCTGGGTGCTGTATCTGAAATCAGCTTATAAAAGCCAAATGTGTAAATACCTTTTCAGTCACTTTTCTTAAAGTTTAGCATAGTTTGTTTCTTACCGCTTCTGGGTAATGAGGAGATGTTTCTTTTTAGTGAACCAAAGTAATTCCTCGGTTAATTGCCTCAATTTAAGTGTGTGATTAGCTCAATTTGTTCTTCTTGAGTTGCTGTAGTTGTCTTCACTAAATCTCATCAGTTCCTATCTTGCCTAATAGCTTAATCTTTTTCTGCTGTAATTATAAGTCAGAGGGGAAGCTCTTATGGGAAATAAAGGATATACCCATGTAGAATTCTTTCCAGTATTTCCCCTGGGACAAAATAGGGAAAAAGTCCTTCTAGATGAAGTAATCTATGGATTTGTGCACCTCCTTTCTTCTTTGGTGTGTCCTGAGGGCCTTCCAAATCTGGAAGGAAGGGTTGGTCCAGCTTGTCTTGTTCTCCAGAAATTCTTGCCATGCCCTGTTGTCTTTACAGGTTTACATATCTCTGTTGCTTCCCTCTCCATATAGTTCTTTCTGCCACCAGTATGATCTCACATCCTTGTGAGCTCTAAGACATTCTTCCTCTTCTACGACTGTTTCACCTTCTATTTCCTCATTTCTGACCAGGAACTTCATCTTTCTCCCACAGCCAAACAATCTATTTAACAGTGCTTTATGATGAACCTCTTCAGGTTTAGAACTATTAAATAGTGTTTACTCTTCCTTCGTTGACCATTTCAACTGTTCTACTTTTGTTTTGAGTGTAGTCTGGTCTGTACTTTGGATGTCACAGTCAGAAGTTAAGTGTGTGTCTTTTGAGGAGGAAGAAAAGCAGCATTTTCTATGTGCTTGTTCACTCTATAAATACAGACACCTTGCCTTGGCTGTAAGCTGCCATCTATGAAATAAAATAAATGTTTAAACTCTGCTTACAGGATGATGTTTTAGAATGTGTCCCCTCAAAGTATTTTGAAAGGTATCTCACTTTGCTGTTGTGGCAAATGCTGATTTAACTTCTAACACCAAATGATTCATAACTATAAACGAAATTTTAAAATCTGAAGTACTTCTTTCAGTGACTGCATTTCTGTTGTTGCCTTTTTATTTTTAATTTTGATGGGGAAATCAGTAATATTTTAGGAGTTTCAAAGAAAGAGATACTGATGTTTTGTAGACAGATATAACCTATTTTTTAAAGGAAGCCGTGTTTACATCATCCTGGTGAACTTCTCTGGTCTTTGAAGTTGTTTAAAAAGTTTTAAAATTGCAGCAATGCTTAGGAATCACACTTTGAGTAGAACTTGATGCAAAGTAAGGCTTGAGGTTTGTCCCGAGGAGTTTGGTTTGTCTCTGTGCCTGAAACTGTTAACAGAGAAGGGAATCTTGAAACTTGTTCTTTGTTTCCAAAATGAAACACTTACTTGAGACTATTATAAACTGTAGGGGAAAATATCCAGAAATGTAAAAATTGCTCTTAAAAATGGTCCTGTACCATAGTAGTATGCAATGCTGAAGGAAAGATTTAAAAATAGTTGAAAAATTTGTGGGGATTGAACACATTACAAAGAAAAAAGTTCTGTTCAGCTCTTAAACTGCTGAATCTTCTAAAACTTAGTTCTTCAATACTGGCATAAGTGAAGGAGAGCAGAAAACTTGGACTTAATACCTGGATGTAATCTTTTTCAAGACATGAGCTCTGACTTCTTTTTTAATATGGATTTTTTTTTTATAGTACCTAAACATTAGGACTCCTACATGTCGAAAATTGAATTCTGTGGTAATAGCTAATGGTAATAGCTTAATGAGTTATGTGATTTCAGTTGTAATGTCTACAAATCTGACATGAAAATGAACTGTAAATTAGTAATTTGATGGGTACACTCTATCTGGTGGTGGTGCTTTGCTAGTTTATTTTTTTTTTTAATTACTGGGTGTCTGACTTAAAAATATTTAACTTGTCTGGGCCCTATACTCCAGCTAATGCCTAGAGGGAATAACATACATGTATTTACTTGTGTTGAAGTCCTATTTTATTTAATGTTTCCCAGAGTATCAGATGTCTCTGAAAACGAGATTTCAGAACTCCTTGGTCACTTCTGAAACTTTATAATCAAGTTTTTGTTCAAATATGCATGTAGTTTTCATTGTCAATAAACTCAGTGATTTCTTTGGGGAGAGATGTGCATAAATCTTATTTTTTTTCCTTTATTTTTTCTTCTTGTCACTTTTTAGAACTGGATTTTAAGTGGTCACTTTTGTAACTTTTTTTTTTTTTCCTTCTTAAGAATATTTGTTCACACTTATGATGATTTGACATAATTAACGTTTTATTAACCATGATGGCAACACAGACATTAAGTATAGACAACTATCAAGATGGACAACAGGTAGGTGTGGTTCTTTTTCTCTATGAACTAAGTACAGTTAGCAAGAGGAAAAAAGTAGTGACTTTGTCCTTAATGGATACTTTGGCATTGTTTAATTATCTGTTCTTATTTGTAAAGCAAGATCTTTAAAAAATGGCAGCTTATCACTTTAATTCTTGGGTACTTATGAAAGGTTTAACTAATTTTTGCATGGTTTTTACTTAACTTCTGGAAGAATGGTTAGGTAAGGGGTTTTACTCTGTATCTACACTGTATTATTTGTGTGCTGTAATGATCCCATTTTTAGGAAAATCAAAGGGGTATCCATAATATTTTGTGTATATGGTACTTCAGTGTTCCTATGTCTGAAGTTACAACAGATAGAAGATGTCCACACAGTCACAGACTCGTTGGTCTTCAGCAACTGAAGGAAAAATTTAGTCATCTAGAATTATATGCTGCTTTGACTGCATTTAAATTGGTGGAATTATGCTTCGGGTTGAAAACTGGTTATATACTTAAATTCATTTTAATGAGGTTATGGGTTAGAATGGATAACTGAAAAGCTGCTCAGTCAGAGTCCAGTTTCTTATTTGAGTTAGCAAACAGCTGGAATAATGAAACAGGCTCGGATATGTTGCTTTTTTGTACCACAGGCTGTATATTGCAACAATTTGAAATAGCCGGATTAAAATACTGTTGACTGGAGACAAGTCATGCCTAAAGGCCTGTACTCTGAAGATGCATTTTTAGGTTACTCTGTATCAGCCCTAAGCAGCAGATACAAGTACTTCTGTCAGCAGATGGCAACAATGGGGAACAGTCAGAAGAAAAAGAGGAATTTTTCCCATCTCTTAGGAAATGTTTATCTGAACAGAGTCTGGGATTATTGGGGTTTTTTTTGTCATTTGTTTCTTTCACTGCAGTTCTAATTTCTCTCTCTTCTCTCACCTGCTTTATATCTTTGGCTTTATTCCCCCACCAAGTAGATGCTATCCTGTGGCACATCAGTGAAAGTAAAATCTGATTTTTTTTTTTCTTAATAACAGACTGGGAGAGAGCTTCTTCTGTCTTATTTGTTCTTTATTTCAAGCTCTCAGTGTCCAGGTAATTTGGGTGCCTGCTGTTTTTGTAGTTTGGAAATGGCCCACAGAAAATATCTTGCAGTTTTAAGTGAGCTATTTCCTCTTCACAGTGAGATAGAACCCCAGTTGAACATACTCTCTCCCTTCAAGCTCTGCAGCTGTATGGCCAACATTTATAATCACTTGTCTGAGTCATCCCCTTTTAATTTGCTCCTCCTTCCTGTCATTAGCCAAGAAATGAGTCCATTAGTTGTATCTTTTTTTTTTTTTGCAAGCATTCTGGCTTAAAAGTCTTCTCTGGAGGAAGCTTTTTGGAAGTCAGGCTGCTCAGCTGGGTGGGAGATGCTGGATTTTTCTCAGTTTCTGATTTTGCTGGGAGATGGCTTGGCCCTTACAGGTGACAAAGCACAGAGCTTTCGGTTCCTCCAGACTTTCATGTTCAGAACAGCACAAATTCTTCTGCTTTTTGTTGTGTGGAAATAAATTCTGCCAGAGCCAGGTTCTCCAATAGTTTGTGGAGGCCAGGCTGTCGTCTGAGAGGGCTCCTGTGAGTGATGGGATGATTTCATCCGATGGGAGAAGAGGGCAGAGCATTTCATTCTGTACACTTCCTCTCTGCAGTTGTCAGTTCTGGCTGCCTGGAGATGTCTGGAACAATGTCCGTCCTCCATGGATATAAAACTTGTTGGAGAAGCAGGAGAAAAGACTGCAGTGATTTCACACCTTTGTGCAGATGCTCAAAGGGCAAAAAAACAAGGAGTTTGGGTTGAGGGGTGGAAACTATGACTTTCACAGGTCAGGTTCCTTTAAGACCTTTTAGTCCAAAAGATATTTAGCTGGAGGTGATGGGAAAACCACTTTCAAAGCACCCCAAAGGTGTTCCCAGCCACCTGGTGCAATGCAGGAGATGCTCAGTTGAAGCTGTGGCTCTGGGTTGCTTTTCTGGTGGTGGTATATTGTATGACTGTGTGTTAAATGGATGTGTAGAAGCAGTTACTGCTGTTTTTTCCTAAAATAATTGGTTGTTACAATAGATAAAATGGAGTGGTAAAGGTCAGGGGATGTTGTGCTCCTGATAATTGAAAGATTTTGGAGGGACACAGAATATTTCAGTTCTTCTTGAGGAAATGTGCATTTTAATGGACAGGAAAAATTTGGAGATCCTCTTCTTCAGTATTCTGATACAAAGTACAGTAAGAAATAAAGAAAACTTAAGGGGAGAAACTTTTCTTTACATTGATTTCATCCCAGAGGATTTTTATGCAGACATCCCCATAAATTTTCTGGAGCAGCGTCCTTTAGCCTGTTCCAAAAACAGCCACTTCAGAGACAGAATGCTTTAACAGTTTACTAATATCTGTCAATCTCGTTTTAAAGCCAAATGCTGAAACTTGGAGTGACCTTTACCCATAAAAAAGTGTCAAGGATTAAAAGAGGGGTTTTGTTACTGCTACTTTTTTTGTGTCACTGCCAAGTCATACCAACCTTCTGGCAATTTAGGAGCCCTTTGCTTTCCTCTTTTCCTAGAGAACAGTGCCCTTATTTTACGTGGAGCCTACAGATTTACTTGTAACTTACTCTTTCCCTACAGATGCAAGTGGTGACAGAGTTAAAAACTGAACAAGATCCCAACTGCTCTGAAACTGATGCAGAAGGGGTGAGTCCTGCCCCTGTAGAATCTCAAACTCCAATGGATGCAGACAAGCAGGCCATTTACAGGTAGTAATGGACTCGTGTTCTGTCTTTTGAAGGGTAAAGAATTGAGGATTTTTTTATTTTTTTTTTTAAATAAATAATAATAAGTAGCTTAAAACCAGATGATCTCTTGGCTAACTGTCTCCGTGGTCTGCAGGGGAAAAAATGAGATCAAATTAGCCTCCCTGTCAGTCATCAGCCAAGAAAACAACTTCCCTAGATAGCAGGATTCTTCAATTTCAATAGTTTTAATGGGTGTTCTAATGGATATTTAGCAAGCTACCTTAGACTGTTGAACTGTGGTCACTATTTGTTATATTGTAGTTTTTATCTTTAATGCAAGTTTTTATTTTTATTGTAATTAGGTTGATCTTTGCTCCTTTTTTTTTCTTTTAGCAATAACAATCTAATGCCCAGCAATTAGTTTGAAAGGGATTAAATATTGATGTACAAACACACTAATTTGAGATTTTTTCAGTGTTAAGTGCTGTGCTAAGCAGTTTGCTCAGTTTTGATGAGGTTAAATGTTGTTTCACTTTAATAATTTTATAAAGGCAGAATTATTACTGGTTTTCAGGTTAAAAAAAAAGGGAAAAAACAAAAAACAAACTACCAAAAAAGCCAACCTGACGCAGAAAGATGTATTCACTCATTTACAGACTTGTGCTAACAAAATCATCTTCTCCTCAGAGCATGATTTCATAGGAGACCTCTGAGTACAGCCTGAATACTATTCTCAATTTTTTGAAGTTATTTTGTGATGTATAAGTGTGGCCCACGTTAAAGAATAGATGAGTTTTATCAGACTTCATTTAAATCTGCATTCATCCTGTTTGTAAATCCTAATTCTCAATTCTAGTGCACTGTATGAATGTATCTCTTGCTATTCAATTTCAGTGAATTAAATAGTATGTCAGAGCTTTTTCACTTTTGATTGTTCTCTTTATTTAAATATATACCTATTTTAGTGCTGTATTTGCCTTTACAACGTGACAAATCAAAATGAAAATAAACTATCATATTTTGCTACCACCAGTGATGTTAAATGCAGTCTCTTCCAAGGCTTGTCACACTTACATGAGTGACTGTGACCTTATCTGAGTTAGATGTCCTAATTTTCAGTGGTGTACACATAAGTGAAAATATTTATTCATATGTTTAAACTTTTTTTTTCTAGGCACCCACTATTTCCCTTGTTAGCACTATTATTTGAAAAATGTGAACAGTCTACACAAGGCTCAGAAGGCACAACTTCTGCTAGTTTTGATGTAGATATTGAAAACTTCGTAAGGAAGCAGGAGAAAGAAGGAAAACCTTTTTTCTGTGAAGACCCAGAAACCGATAATTTGGTAAGTATAAGCTGCTTGTTTTGTTTCTGAAACAGTCATCACATTTCCATCTTCTTCCTAATTCCTGATCTCCACTGGTGTGTATAGTTTTTGTTCCTGTGAGAGATTCTTATTTATGTTAATGCTGAGAAACATTTTTTGAAGCTTATTCTGACCCTTTTTTTCCCTTTTATCTGTAAATTTACGTTGGGCCCTTTGCAGTTGTTTCCTCTTCTCAGCTGGCTGAGATCAGTGTTTTGGGTACAAACAGAAACATATCCTTGCCATAGCCAGGTTGACTGCATATCAATTTTAGGGTGTATGGCATATATTTATAAAAAAACATGTAATCAATGTAAATTTTTTCCAGCTGTTTTTTTAATCAGGATTCATGTAATTAATGTGGGAGAAGAGCTCTTATAAGATGAGCTTAGAAACTCTTTACAATATACAAATTATTTCTTGACTCCTTTAGGCTTTCTGGAAGTCCTTCCTGTGATGGATCTGTGATTTTCCCTTTTTTTGATATACTTGCCTTCAATATTTTAATCAGAAATGAGAGTTAGTTCTGTTCTGCATGAAGCAGGTCTGCAGACTTGCTAAGCCTCAGGTTATTTGATTCATTTGTAACTGAATTCAACACAAATACACTGTTTTCCCTTTCCTCTCTAATCCCAGTTTCTTTTCAGAAGCACAGCTGAAATCTAGTAGGTGGAATGTAGTACCTTTGGCTCAGTGGATGAGGAGAGAGCAGTGGATGTGGTTCATCTTGAATTTTGATGTCTCTTACAATGTTCTCATAGACAAACTGATAAAATATGGACTAGATAAATGAGGAGTGAGATGGACTGAAAACTGGGTGAACCACTGGGCTCAAAGGATTGCAGTCAGCAGCATGAAAGCCACTTGAGGGCAAATTATAAGTGATGTATTCCAGGGATTGATACTGGAACCAGAACTGTTTAATGTCTTCATTAATGACCTGGATGATGGGGCAGAGTGTACCCTCAGCAAATTTGGAGATGTTGCAAAACTGGGAGGAGTGACTGGTGCACAGATGGTTCTGGCACTGTTCAGAGGTACTTTGTTGGTTTTGGAGAAATAGGCAAACAGGAATCTTATGGAGTTCCACGATGGGAAATGCCAAGTCCTGTACCTAGGGAGCAATAATTCCCCCTCCACCGGTACACCTTGGGGGCCAACCAGCTGGAAAGCAGCTGTATGGAAAGCAATCTGACAGTCCTGGTGGACACCAAGCCAAGTGTGAGGCAGCAGTGCATCCTTGCAGCAAAGAAATTCAACATACTTAGGCTGTGTTAGGAAGAGAATTGCCAGCAGGTCAAGGAACATGATCCTTTCCCTCTGCTTGGCACTGGTGGGACACATCTGAAGTGCTGGGTACAGTTGTGGGCTCCTCACCTCTAGGCATGAATATACTGGAGTCAGTCCAACAAAGGACCAAAAAGAAGATTAAGGGAATGAAAGCATCTCTCAGTGTACCTAAATACCTAATAGGGGAGTAAAGAAGACAGACCCTCTGACTCCTCTCAGTGGTGCCCAGGGAAAGGACAAGAGGAAATGGACATAAATTGAAACCCAGGGAAGTTCCATTAAAACCTTTTTACTGTGAGGTGGATTGAATAGTACAGGGTGCCCAGGGAGGTGGTATTCACCTCTGTTGATGGGCTGCACAAATCTGGCTGATTTTGCTTTAGGTGGATGAGGAAGTATTTATGTCTTGGATCCCGTGGCTCCTGAGGTCAGTACTGTCTTGAACTAGAACCAGGTTGCAAAAATTAAAAATCTTTGGCATTGAACTCCTGTCCTGTGGTTGTATTGTTAGCTGTGACTTTCTGTTGCTAGATGCCAAATGAAATCTGAGTGCAGCTTGTCCTCTGCCTGTCCTGGAGGCTGGGAACTCTGAACAGCTGACGTTCTGTCAGGCTGATCATTTTGTCTGGGGCAATGAGCAGAAGAGTTTCTGTCAAGTAGTGAACTGGCTAGTATGGTTTTCAGTCCGTTCTTCAGCTTGAAATATTGGTGCTTGCACAGAGAACACTGTAGATGGGCAGTTTTTTCTGCCTTGTGTCAAATAAATATATACATTTTTACACAGATTAAAAATCTCTTTTTTTTTGTAGAGAGGGCCCCTATTGTGCACCTTTGTTGCATCTTCTGTTTTTCTGTCCTTCCCTTTTTAACTCCCAATGTTAATTAAACTGTTCACTTGAAAGGAGAAGCCGTTAGGGCTGTTAATTAGAATGAGCTAGAAGGGTGGAGCAGGTAGGCCAGACAACTGATTGCTTTCCACTTGTGCTCTTCTCTGGACCCAAGAGAGTCAAACAAATCAGATGTAAATGCTTGCAGTTGTTCATCTTGGAGCCAGAGCTACACTGAGATAAATTGAGTATCACAGTACTCTAAGGAGCCAAATTCAAGTCCTATCTGAAGAGTCACAGTGAGGAAATGGGCCACTAATTCAGCTGTTTTGTTTTGTTTTTTATTTTATTTCTTTTGGAAGTGGCACGTAAAACTCAACTACTCAGGTTTTGTGATGGAGCTTAAACTGATGGCTCCAAACCAGCAGAATATAATTTCATTCTCTGTACTGCCTGTCAGCTAATTAACCAGGTAGCAGAAATTATGAAGGGTCACAGATGGTGACTGTAGGGTCACTTACAGTCCTGGCAACGTTCCACATTGTGCTCTCACTTGCATATTCCAAAGGAAGAGCTTGGTTTTCATCCAAAGGAATCTTAATCTGAGTGGTGCAGGCATTGGATCAGTTTGACCATAAAGGAGGTTCATTAAGAGCAGTGTGTGGTTGTTCCAACTTGAGTAGCTCTAAAGATACAGTCTAGATTACCTTGTTACTTGGGTATTATGGTTCCCATTCTGAATTAATTGGTGGTTTCCTGCATTAGTAGTACAAAGGATTTCAGCACTGGGAAATACCGGTAGCATCCACCTGGAACTGAATTTTAAGGATACCCATATATTGTTAAGACTGGCCTGTGTAAACCAAGTTTCAAACTTTATTATCTAGATGGAGGGATTCTATTCCTTCCAGTTAAACACTCCAACAGCATAAATTGATGATCTTGAAGCAGCAAGGCAAAGGGTTGTGGTCCACTCAGAAATAGTGTTACCAGGCCTTTTATTCTGCAGTGTCTTTCCCAAGTCTGATTTTGTCAGGCACGTGGTCAAAGCAGGGTTTTTGCAGTGAAATGGATAAGAACATTTCTATAACTGTTGGCTTCTGGATGGGTCAGAACTTTGGTGTTAGGATTCGGCATGTTTAAGAGAATGAGAATTTCTCAGAAGAAATTATAAGAATTTGAAAAGATGTGGAAAAAGTTACACTTTCTTGTGCAAGCTTTTTTTTAGGGTACTCCGTGAAATTACATTGATTAACTTTATTTTTTATTTGGTTTATTGCTATTTTCCTGGTTTTTTCTCTATGTGCATTCATGTAACAGAGTTAGCCATGGTTTATGTTCAAAACCTGCAGCACTAAAAAATACCCCACAAAATTGTGCTGTGGCTTCCCTGAAGTGTGAAGTTTCAGTTGTTGTCTCTTCTTGCATCTGAGAGGTGTCTAAGATGCCTCTTTTCTTTCCAAGGAAGAGCATATAGCAGGAAAATGCAAAGTTCAGTTCTGAGATCTGTTAAAAGAAAACTGAGAAGCTTCATTCCTACTCCTGGACAGGTTTTATCAGCTTGCTCTGAGATGTAGGAAGTCTTGACGTTCTAGGTATGTGTGTATTTTTAGCGCAGATCCAAATTCCAGTCAGAAGAGGCAGTTGTCTTTGGACTGGAACTCCCCCCTGAGTTCCAGTCCATCCCTAATAAATACACAGAGAAAGTGGCTTTTCTGTGGCAGCTACATTTGCTCCTCAAGAACTGTAGGCTGCAAACAGAACTTTGAAACTGTTCCCTTCTGACTCCACTGACTGACCACACAGGTTTAGATTATTTAGAGAGGTGAAAGGGAGCTACAGGTTTATGGTCTGGGTTTTTTTTGCAATAAGTATTTAGCTGTTACAGATGTGCATGGCACAGCCTATTATTTGAACCAGAACTGTCCTCTATCTTGGAATGTCCTCTGCAGGTTTCTTCCAATTTTCAATAATTTTGTTCTCTTTTCTGAGCCTTGGTCACTCGTGGTGTCTCTGTTGATGTTCTCTGAACTGGATGAAAGTGCTGATTAGCTGCAAGAAGTGCAGCTTTAGGGGGAACCTCATAAATAAGTGTCTGCAGGGAGGTGTCAGAGGATGGACCAGGCTCTGCTTGGGGGGGCCCAGCAAAGGGACAAGAGGAAGAGGCAGGAACTGATGCCCAGGAAGTTCCACCTGGACATGAGGAAGAACTTCTTTGCTGTGCAATGACCCAGCACTGAACAGAGACCAGAGAGAGTGTGAAGTCTCCCTCACTAAAGATATTCCAGAACCATCTGGACACAATCCTGTGCCATGTGCTCTGGGATGGCCCTGCTGGAGCAGGGAGGTTGGACCAGATGACCCACTGTGGTGCCTTCCAGCCTGACCCATCCTGTGCTGCAGACCTCCCCTTTTCAAATCCTAGTCCCTGTGGGAATGAAGTGGAAGCTGAAGGCTGCGCTCATGTTCTTCTTACTAGACTGGAAGTGTGCTTTCTTTTCCAAGCTTTAACTACCTCCTCATCTGTTTTGGAATGTTATTTGCATCCGCCTTAGTCCTTATATCAAGCATCAGTATCAGAAGACCTGAGTTTGCAACAAAATCTGCTCTGTATCACCAGCCAGAGGTTCCCAAGTGCATGTGCTTCTTTCTGGAAACAAGCTCAGCTTCCAACTCAGTGTCCTCATTACATGGAATATCATGTGTTGGAGCTTCATACCCTTCAGCCCTTACCCTTTGCCATCTCTACCTCATTTTCACAGATAAAACAGATCTTGTAATCAACCACTGCTCTAAACTGCTCTTTTTTTCTCCATTTGTATCCTTTTGTGCTTAGGACTTACACAGACAGGCTCCTCCATATCTAAGAGGTTGTTCAGCATGAGTGTTTGCAGATAATTTTTTAGAGCTTTCACAGATTACATGTTTTAAGACTTTCATTACTTAATACTGGTTTTTTGTTGTTTTTTTTTTTTTTGCTTAGTGTTAACCCAGATGCTGCATAAATATCACGTTGCCTCAGGGTGGTTCCTACCTCTTGTGTAGCTTCTGTTCAGAGTAAACTCTTCCCCCATATGGGTGACTTTTCAAATTACCCCACATTCCTAGGACCACAGGATGGATCAGGTTGGACTACGAGCTCAGGAGGTCTGTAGTCCAACCTCCTGCACAAAGTAGGGTCAGCTCTTGAGTCAGAGCAGGTTAATTAAGGCTTTGTCGAGTCTAGAAACAATACAAAACAAGGAGTATTAAATATGCTCTCACTTCTGTATTTGAACAGGACACTCACTGACTTTTTTGAAGACCCCCCTCAAGTTTTTTGTTTTGTTCAGGGTAAGGATTTTTGGTTCAGTACCCTCTTCTCAAAGACTGCCCTATTGAATTCTTAGTTGTGTCAGGATAGGTTGTAGGGGTGAAGCCAGCTGATGTAGTTTGAATATTCTTGACTGAACAAGTCACACTTTTGCATTTCTGACAAGTGTTCTTAGTATTTTAATGTGCAGAAGTGTCTCATAAACTTCTAGTTATACCTTTTCTAGCTATGTCAAAATAGGGGAAAGAGGTTTTTCAAATCAAAACAAATGAAGACAAGATACCCCCCCTCCCAGAGTTTGTGTTCTTCCCCTGAAGACCTAAATTACCCCAGGAGAATTTGGGTCAGGGAGGTAGGTGAGCTGTGAATGAATTTTAATTGTTTGGGGTTTTTTGCAAATGGAAAGAGTTATTTGAGTGAGAAGATTGTGTCAGTATATGGAGATTCTTTCATGCATGTTGTGTGGAATTATAGTCCAGGTTTATTTCTACAGCTGAAAAAACTGAATCAATTGGCATATAAAAAATCCATTGTTCTGTGGCATATTCCATCCAGGAGCACTAAAAACCAAAAACAAGGTTGTAGATTTTGAAGTTGTGTCTTTTAAGAACACAGAAATGAAATATTACTGCTGCCGTGGCCTGTCTGAAAACACTTCTTTGTATTAATTTTGTTCAACATGGGTGATTTTATCAGGAGTTCTTGAACTTCTGCTGACATGGAACTTTGGTCCACCCATGCTGCAAGAGAGCAGGAGCCATATGGCCACAATTAGTGTAGTTGTAAATTAATTAATAAGTCCTGGTGACAGGCATGGCACATTTACAAAGTTTTGTTTGCCTTCTAGCACAGCTTCCTGCAAGAGTAGTGTGGCAGTGTGTGGCTCTGGAGAAACCTGGATAGTGTTACTGATTCTTGATTTATGGTTAATTCTGACTTTAATTCAATTTTCGCTTCAGGTATTGACCATCAATTTGAAACTAAATCTGAGCTGAAGAAAGGACTTTTGTTTTTCCTCCAAACACATGCTGATAAATAAATAATACAAATATGAGTAATGTTTTAAGAAAAGTAAACCCTCTTGACCGAGCAAAACTAATCCCTAATACAGTTAAATATTATGTGTCCAAAGGCATATTTTTGTTACCTCAGTTTTAGCTGAATGTTTAAAGCACTCACTGACATATGTGCAATGTGTTGATCTGCAACATACGAAGAATTTTCTAGTTTAAGCTTTTTTGTCTCTGGAACAGAGTATGTTTAGACATGGACGACCTTTGTTTTGTGGTAAAATCTAGTTAAATTTGCATGGTTTAACTTTGTTGTGTTTGAAGGTACTTAAACAGAGTTTAAACAGCAACCTGGACTGATTTAGAAGATCACTGTTTTATGCCTCAGTGCTGGGTTGTTGCACTTATTATTTCAAAGGCTTCTGGTGTCATAGGTCCAAAGAGTTACCAGATGCTAATTTGGATCCACTGCCTCACATCTACAGCTCAGATGTTTCTGCAGCTGTGCTTCGAAAAATACATGTAATTTTTTTTTTCTTTTTAGCCCTGAGAAGAAATAAGATTTTCTTCCTTTTTTTTTTTAAATCCCTTCATGTTTTTGTCTCTTGTTTATTTTAACATACAATTGTCTACAGTGAGTGAGTGTCCTACAGCTGGAATACCTTCTGGTGGAAAAACAGGGAGAAGATCTGTCACAATGAAAGCTGAAGTGTCATGGTGGAGAACACCCAGAAGTTTTCCTGCCCTGATCTTCTCTGGGTGCTTTGAAAAAAGGCAACTTCAGCTCCCAGTTGGCTTCTTGAGTTAGAAGTAATAGGTGGATTAGTTCATAAGGCATCATTTCTGATCACTGGATTGAGTGCTCTGGCCAGGGAAATGACCCTTCATATAGGAGAAGGTTTTCCAAATAATTATAAAATCAAGCTGTGCACTTTGCCTCAAAATTATAATTATTCATTTTCATAAAACCAAAGGGTATTTCTCTTGGAGATCTAACATAGCACATAAATGTTGGGGGTGGCATGCTGTATAAAAAATAATTACTTTGCTAGTGTGTTTTGTACATATTTGAATGCCCTGGATTTCTTACTGCTTCATGAAAATTTAGACCATCTGGGTTTGGTTTTAGCTTTTGATCTTCTGCCATGACCCTTACAATCACCTAAGCTATTTTTATGCAGTATGTAATGCCACTGGTTATCCAGGCTTACAAGCCTTTTTCTTACAGTGAGCATGATAAGTATTCTCACCATGTACATATCTCCTGCACTTTGATTTTTGTTTAAACATGGATTTTTTTAATTGGGTTTCTTGCTTTTTATTTAATGATATATATTTCATAACCAGTCTCCTCACCTGAAAGTTCTTTACAAGGTTTTACCTGAGAGTTGTTCATCTTTGACATACAGTTGCAGAGGAACTTAAATAAAAGCCGTAGGACTGACAAACTGTTTGATTACTTTAAGCTCTGTTGAACAATGTGACAAAGCTTGGGACCTCTTTATTCTAATTTAAATGAGAGATAAAAGCTGTTGTGTTTTGGTTACAGGTGAGATGACAGGCCATTTCCTGTACTTTCACCCTCCCTAGCAGTCTGTGTGACAAATTTATGATTAAATCACAGGAGGGTCTTCTCAGTGTGTCTCAAACTCATGTGTACACTTCTGGTTTCCTCGGGTCAGGGTGTAACGTGGAGCTGATATCTCTAAATTATAGAGCTCCAGACAACTGCTGGTGGCCAAACCTATTCCAACCTTGCTTTCCAAATAATATGTGTGGATGGGATTACATTCCTTCATTTTCAGTCTTGTGTGTTTTTATGGCACAGAGTTGTTCAGTGGGGTTAAAGATCATCCCGTGCCCTGCAACACCTTCACTGTGCTCTGTCTTCTCAATGTGTCACATGTGACAAAGATCATGTTGTTGTCCTGTTCTGTTTCCCCTGTGTGGTAGTTTACTTATGTTCCTTTCAAATTTCAGGACTTAGCAATTAGCAAGTCTGCTTTAATTGGGTGAACTTTGGTACTGGGAAGTAGTGTTTTGCTTAAATCTCACATTAAATATTTTTTGAATTAACAGTTGTTTTGTTTCTAACTTTTTTTCCCCACACTTCTCTCCCTTAGATGGTAAAAGCAATCCAAGTTCTTCGTATCCATCTGCTCGAGCTGGAAAAGGTTAATGAACTCTGCAAGGATTTCTGCAGTCGTTACATTGCCTGCCTGAAGACAAAAATGAACAGTGAAACTCTGTTAAGTGGAGAGCCTGGAAGTCCTTATTCACCTGTGCAATCTCAGGTATGTTTCAAATACATCTAAGTGTGTTTTTGCTTAGATTTCCTTAAGAACTCATAGCTGCACTTCTCTTGCTATTAGTTTGCAAACAGAGTTTCTGCAATTTCCTTTACTTTCTCAAATCTGTTACTAAGAGTAGGAAGAGCTATTTTATTATTTTTTTGTGTGCACACCTGTGTGCCACTGCCTGATGGACAAATTTGTTCAAATATGCCAGAACATGGACTCAATTTTTTATTGTCTGTCTTGCTTTTATGATTTTTCCTCAGTTCAGCAAGTGTAAATATTCAGAATAGCTTGGATTTGCTGTTTTGTTGGAAGGCAGGTAGAAAACAGAGTAAACAAAGGAGAACTAAAAAATGTCCTTGTTAAGAAGGTCTCTTTAGTCTGGTTTGCTTCCTTGAAATATTGAGGTGACTGATACATTTTATACACAGTCTGTATTGTGGGACAAATAGACAATGTCTGATGGATTATAGTTGCAATATTTGAGATGTCTGTCATTGCATGTCACATCAGGTAAATGTGTAATTATGGAATGGACCCATTTCTATACATGTGAACATCAGTTTATATATTGTTGACATTACTAAATACAATGGCCAATTACATTTTTTGTAGTAAATTGGTAACAATTAACAACAGTTTGTATGTTATGGTTGATATTTTTGCTGTTAAATGCTGCAAAGTGAGCCCTGACACCTAAGTATGTACAAGATACTTAATCTTAAGGGATGGCCCTTCTCTGAATTACTCATGTGTCTGATGCTCTGTATTCAAAAAAGCCTCAATGACTTTTGAACTCCACTTTCTGCACTCCTTACTTAGGTTTCAGGGTCTGGAAGTGTGGAAAGGAGATTCTAAAATCAGATAAAAAGAACCCTTTTAAAGGTGTTTTTTGTATGTCTCCTACATTTTGCATTTGCTATCAAAAGAAATTATTCATACACATTAAGGAGTGTGGAAGAGTTTGCATGGTCAGGGTTGAGTAAGAACAATATTGAGCAGAATAAAACATGCTGGGCATCTTGAATACTTAATACATCATTTTGAAATTGATGGAATTAAGGTAATAACTAAAATTCTAAAGCTTTGATGCTTGTAATCAGAGCATCAAGGGTCATTTCATCTGTCCTTTTTCCCTTGTGTTTTTTGAAACTGTTTCTCTTGCTATATATATACACCTAGAACTAGAATTTCTGAAGGTAGTTCTACATCTAACAGTTGCTTTCATGAGGGTTTTCAAAGGTAATGGTTGGTGATAATGAGGAAGTTAATATAGGTAATGATGAACCTCTAATGAAGTCTCTTTCTCTTTGAAGGTAATCCTGTGATTAAGCTCCAAATGTATTTTAGAACCAAAAATGCATAATACAAAATAAAAAAAACACACAAGCATGATTTATCTCCTTACAAAAAAAAAAAAGTTTTAAAAAATGCAAGCAACTAATTGTTTTATTTTTCTAGCAAATTCCAAGTGCCATTGCAGGCACACTCAGTCCCCAAGGGATTATGGTGCCAGCATCAGCATTGCAGCAGGGAAATGTAACTATGGCAACAGTAGCAGGTATGACAAAGTAAAAACAACTGGCACCTTGCTCTTCGTGTTGGTTTCTTTAATAGTTGTTACAAAAAATACACAAAGACTTTAAAAAATGTGTTTTAAGTCTTAGTACCTGAGAAGTTGTTATAATACAGTCAAGTGCATTACTGTTTTATGAAGGTTTAATTTTTTGTTTACCAAGTATGCCTATGTGAGTGGCAGTTACATGAGATTAAGAGATCTTTCTGTACAACACTACAAAGACATTTTAGAGACTTTTTTTCCCCCTTTAAAAAAAAAATTCTATTTGACAAAAGCATGCATTACCTAAAACATTGCACTTGTTGGCTGCCTCATGCTCCCTGGAGTTGGGAACCACACCTACAAGTCTGTGTCCTTGTTGTCCTGCTATTGTAGAAATGACATTTTAACTGAGACATGTTATCTTCCTTCTAAGCAGGGTTTTAAAACAAACCCAGCTGCCTGCCCTAACCACTGCACTCACATAGGTGTACTTTTGGTGTTGAGACCCTTTTTGAAGACTTAGGTCAGTTAAAACAAAACGATTAACTTCTTTTATAGCCTGATAATCGTGACATTTTCCTTTGAAAATAGATCTAGGATGCCCAAAATATAGGGAAATAAAGTCAAATTTCGTGCAGTCTTATGTGGATGGAAGAAAGTGTTAGTGTAGCAAAGAGCACATCTTACATGGTTACTAGAAAAAAACATAGTAAATATATTACCAAAGCTCTTGTATTGTCTGCAGTGCTGATGTCTTAATGTGTTTAAAGAGAATAATACTTGAAGGGCTTTTACTTACTTGTAATGTGTTTTGCTTTAAGGGGGGACAGTGTATCAGCCCGTCACTGTGGTCACTCCACAAGGCCAAGTGGTGACACAGGCACTGTCACCTGGGACTATTCGGATCCAGAACTCTCAGGTTTGTTTCATGGGCTTCCCAGGATAGTTATTCGGGGTTCAGATAAATCTCAGTGGTTTTAAGAGGTTTGGTTTCAATTTGGCAGACTGTCAGAACGAGATCTGTGTACACACACGTAGTAACTCACGTAAAATTAGTGCAAGCGCTGCTGTAGGAGCTACAAGTTGTATAACATGGCACAATGTGGAGATCCCAGACAGAGCTCCCTTGCCACATCATAGTTCTTACCTGTTAAATGTCTTCCTTTGCTGATGGCAGAAGAGTATAGGCACATAGAAATAAGAAAAAAAAAGAACTAAAATTAAAAAAAAAAAACAAACCACCCCTAACCTCCTCCCTAGGGAAAAAAAAACACCAACCCTCCAAACCAAAAACCCCTTTGAATTAAATAGACACTTTTTCAATTATTACAACTCTTCTAGTTGTTGAACGAGGTTTAGATAGATTTACTGTATTGCATTATGGTGCCACACTGCTGTTGTCAGAAATCTGACTTTTTCTCATGATGGCAACCGCTAGTACTGTGAAACTGTTATGTACTTCAGGGTCTGTCTATTTTGGGAAGCATTTTGCTGTAAAACCTTCAAGATACTCAGTTGAGACTGTGGGAGATCCTCACATTTGGCTCAGTGTGTCGTACCCTGAAAGATAAGGGCCAGCACTCTTTTGGGGGAGGCTCCTGAGAGTTGGATCTGGAGAGTTCAAAGGAGCAACTGAGGAAAAGGAAACATGAAAACTAGACCATCTTTAGTTACAGAAAACCTGGCTCGCTCTCTCTTGGAGCTGGAAGTGGTAAATCAAATCTTCCAGGAACCTGGAGTCAATTAAAAATGTGAATGAGGAGCTACCATCTGAATCTGTTGGTAATCACTGACTCACTGGCTTCTTTTCTTCCTTATTCTGACTTTCCAACCAAAAAAAGCGTGCACAGAGTGTTCTTTTAATTGGCAGGAGCATGTATGTACTTGCCTAGAACAAATACAGTTCTGCCTTCAGACACCTTGCAGAAAGAAATGTGTAAAATTACTCTCCTATACTGAAGTGTTTTTGAAGAAAATGTTTTTTATACCTCTTATGGGGAAAAAAAAATACTGAGTCGAAAATAATGTGTATAGTCTATAAACAAAAAAAGGACTTGACCTTCTGCAAACATCTCTGGCTACTCTTGATGTTAGTAGGAATCTCCAGACCCACCTGTGCATAGGTTTGGACTTGGATGACTTGGATTCCTTGTCACCCATAGAAAATCCTTCTTCAGTTTCTTCTTTTTGAGTGTTTCAGAATGCTTTGGAGGTTGGGAAAACTACTGGTGGAGAGCTGTTGAAAGTTCATTATAAAGCCTCCATATACAAGCAGATTATGTAGAATGTAAAGCATTATTTTGGAAATAAAAGTATGCTCCAGATATATATTTGTTGTAATTTGATAGCTTAAACCTTGTTCAAAACTAGTTTCATACAGGACACAGACATAATGGTTGGCTTAAGAAATTACTCCAGTTTGTCTGAGAAACCTAATTTAGAATGATTTCAGTTATAATTGTCTGAAATAGAATCTTATATGCAATTTGTACAGTATTTCTTTTTACCTCTGTGTAAGCATTTAAGAATGTATTCCTGAATGTTCAGATAACCAATGTGCAAATGATTTGATGTATCCATAGAAAGTGAAAAACAAAGATGAAGAAATATGAACCTTTAGGAAGTAGTAAAAGTGTTGTGAAGTGAGTTACATATTCTACCATATAAGTCTTCTTGCTCTTTGAGAATTTAGATGCATTTTTTTAACAGGACCTTTATCATCATTGTGTGCAACTCTAGCATAATAATTAATTTTACTTAACCCTTTGTTTAATTCTCAAATCTGTATTTGAGATTTTTGGAAGTATTGGAAGTATTTTACAGCTTCCATAGTTGTTTATATTTGCACACAGTGAGTTTATTCAAAATATTCAAGCCTAATTTCTTTTTGTTCAATAAATGAGTTGTTAATTGATTGATACAGAACTATTACTGTGCTAACTGCCTTATTTCTTCTAAAATTTTATGTGCAGCTTCAGTTGCAATTAAACCAAGATCTAGGCATCTTGCATCAAGATGATGGCTCATCAAAAAATAAGAGAGGAGTTCTTCCCAAGCACGCTACAAATGTGATGAGATCTTGGCTTTTTCAGCACATAGGGGTAAGGACTGAGCATGGTCAAGAGTCAGTTTTTTATGTAACTCTTTTATGTGGTCTCTTATGACTTTGCTTCATAAAGAAGATGAATTTATTCTCTTGTCCTTTATGTAATCTCAGTTCAGTTTTCCCTGAAGTCATTTGGAGTAGTTCCACAGTCTAATGTCAGTTGATTTTATTATTATTTTAATAAGTGTGTTACATTTGTACCTCATGGTCTCAATAAACATTGTTACAGGGAAGCTTTCTTCGTTTCACTGTGCTGAGTACTTAACACTCTCTACACCCTGGTTCATGGCACAAGGAAAAATAATTCCATCTGTGTTTTGTGGTGTTTTGGGGGTATTTTTGATAGAGGAAAATTTCAAATTTTCTGGCTTTATCTCCTTTCCAACAACCCTGATGTGTACCAAGTGTGTTACTATCTACTTGTGCTTTCAACTTACCTTGAGAGGATAAATGGGCCTCAGGTTGTATTTCAGTGTTTAGTTGATGGATATTTTGTGTTTTACAACCATTTCACAGCAGAAAACTGACACAGGGAAGCTGCGTGTGCGCCTCTTGTGTTACATGCACTGACTTCATCTGTTTAGTTCAGAGCAGCTTTATTTAACTAGAAAGTGCTTGTCAGTGCTCTCATATGACATTGCCTTTAGACAGCATAACTAATCAGATGTTATCACATGCTGTGTTGCCCTGGCATCACACTGTTTAATAAAGACTGTCGGCCATGAGAAGCTTTTTCTTCTGAATTACACATCAGTAGTTTAATGGTGTCATAGACACTTTCAAGGATAAAATCAGTTTTGTGTAGTAAAGCACTCCTTGTTAAATTATTTATGTCTGTAAAAGTTTGTGAGGTTTCTAAAGTTCGTGTTTTAATGAGTCAGATGGTCTTAATCCAGCAGCTTTAATCTGTTGTAATAAAGGAATTCTTATTTTTGATGAGGAGCAGCTTTAATCAGTTGTAATAAAGGAGTCCTTATTTTTGATGAGGAGATGAAACAAGCTTATGCCTTTTTTTTGTTTGCTTTTTTGGCCTCTTTAGCATCCATATCCAACAGAGGATGAGAAGAAGCAGATTGCAGCACAAACAAATCTGACACTACTCCAGGTTAACAACTGGTAAGAGCAAAACCCTTATTTAATATCTGTCATCGTCTCCACATGCTTACAACATAAAAACAGTTAAGAGCGTAAGTTGGATATCTGGAATTGAACTTGCTGTTCTACACATGCTACAAAATATGTGTAGAAATACAGGAGTTGTGCACTGATACACAAGCATGTCATTTTTTTAAGGTATAATAACACTCGTGCCATTTAAATTATATAAGGACTCCAGAAAACATTGCAACACTAAGGAATTATGTTCTATTGCTGAGAGAGATGGAAGTACTCTCATTTCTCTTCTGCAAGTAAACAAATGGAAGATTAAAGGTGTTCGGTGACCTGAAGCTCTGTAAAGGTTGCAAACATTTAAGAAGTTACTGTCAACAGAGATTGATTCTGCCCTTGTATCAAAGGGTTCTCTTCTGAGCAGTGGTGCCTGGAGAGTGGCAGTACCTCAGCTACACTAGTTCGTGGTTCAGCATGTTTTAGCATGTTTTATCTTCACTGGAGGTGTAAGATAAGACACCTGCCCCCGCAGAAGAGAGGAGGGAAGGTGCCAACACGCACCTATTCTGCTTGTCGGTTCAGTTCCTAAAATTACTGCAGCAAAGTCCAGCAGGGATCTTCCTCAGATTTCAAAGAGGACACTGGCTGCATGGCTGCAGAGGGGTCCAGTGGGGAAATACTTAAGATAGTGACAGAACACAGGTTCCAAAAGTGGAACAGTGTAACTCTGCCTGTGGGACATGTAGTCACGGAGCTCTGTGGCCTGGGATCCGACTGCTGTCTTTGAAGAGCATTTTATTACACCACATGGACCTGCCAGCTGCAACCAACCTCCTTCCATTGCAGGCAAAGGTGTGTCCTGGCTGTGTTTTGTCAGATTTAGGGATGATATCCTCAGTCCCAGCTCCTTGGCACAGCTCTTGCATTAAAGTTGATTCGGTTAATTGCTGGTAGCTAATGAGATGTGGTTTAAGCATTTTCTTGTTCACTAGCAGGAAGGGCAGCAATTAACATGCTAAAATAAACAAGTGAAAACCAGGGAACTAAAAGGAATTGGGAAAGATGTGAAAAATGTGTTTGCTGTTGTCTCCTGGATCAGGAGCCAGCCCTTGGAAAGCCAGGGAGCCTATAAAATAAGTAATGCGGAAGCTCAAGGAAGTAAATGAAACCAGGCCAAACAAACTAGGTTAGGCAGGGGCTAGATTTTAGGTGGACCCTAATGAGAAGAGTGTCAGCTTTCTGAGCTGTGCTGTCAGCAAGTTTTCTGGTGCTTAGTTTTTAATAAGATCCTGAAGTGTACATCTGTTGTGCTGTCTGGAGGATTTTTCCTTCTGAGGTGGGGGGAAAAAAATGCTGCAAGCTGCAAAATGATAGAAGCACTTTCTTAGCTAGTTTGCCAAAATCAAAGGATGTGGGTATTCTGAAAGCAGGAAAAAAGCTTTCCAAAAAAAAAAAAAAAAAAAAGTGAAGCCCAGCTGATGGGGAGAAGATTTTATATTCCTGATTTTTTTTCCTTTCCACTGCATGCTTTGTGAATGTGGGAGAGAACTTGCAGCAAACTGGTCACAAGTTCTCCTTGCCCTCGGTTGTGTTCAGGTTTATCAATGCTAGAAGGCGAATTCTTCAGCCGATGCTGGATTCCAGTTGTTCCGAAACCCCCAAAACAAAGAAGAAAACAGCTCAGAACCGGCCGGTGCAGAGGTTCTGGCCTGACTCCATTGCCTCAGGAGTTGCTCAGCAGCAATCCAACGAGCTCACCATGTCCGACGGTAAGGAGAGACCACGGATAGTTAATTCCTTCGTAACAGGGAAATGAAGGGATTGATGCCTTTGCAGGGAGGGGGAACTTCTTCATGTTTCAGTATAAATGTGGTTTTAATCCGGGAAAACATAACAGAAATTATGTCAATTTTTTTCTCTTTAATTGCCTATGTTTTTAGAGGAGCATTTTATTGGATTTTGCGTCGAGAGACTGTTGCTTTTGTTTCAGAAGTTGTGAAACGGCAGAACAAAAGCGAGATGTACAGCTCTGCTGTAGAACTAAGTTCTCTCAGTGCGTGTGTGCACGTCAGGAGTGTTCTCTTTGATGAGCACTGCGAGGCTGCAGCTTCAGTTTCATTGCTGAGCGTCTGCAATTCTACATCTGCCTCACGTGTTTCAAGGTGAACAGTGAGAGGCAGAGAGGCTTTGACTGAAGTAACTTCCTCAGCATCAGATCAAACAAGAAGACCTAATTTAAGAAAGATAAATATCTGCTTTAATCTCAGGATCATCCTTTCTGTCCTGCTGCCTGATGATTTGTTCCTTTCCAGTTTGTAGCAGACTTTTCCCTCAGCCTGTGCTGGACCTGACAGCAGCTTTGTCCATTTAAAAATCCCCTTGAATCTCTATGAACACTCCCATTTTTCTGCAATGAATTAAGCTGGAATACTTTGCAGAAATGGTCTTGTGATGACTTGATTGGAGAATTGCTGTAGTGGGTGTCTATAACACAGCTAAGTTTAAGATTCCTGACCAACCTAATCCTGGCATTTCCTGATATTTGAGTGTTTGACGACCTATATGGCTTTTATTTTAATCTAGTTTCTTAGGTTTTCTTCCTGTTGGTTGGGGAAAAAAAACCCTGTTATAAATAATAAATACATATTACTTAAAATTGGAAAGCAAGAAAGATGCTAAATTACTGTGATTGTGCTTCTGCAGGTGCTGTTGTCACCATTACAGCTCCAGTCAACATGAATGTAGACAGTCTGCAGTCTTTGTCATCTGATGGTGCTACTTTGGCTGTCCAGCAAGTCATGATGGCAGGGCAGAGCGAGGATGAGTCTGTAGACAGCGGGGAGGACGATGGAGGAGACCTCTCAACAACAAACATCAGCGGGCTGGTCTTGGATAACAGCGATTCTCTGCAGTAGGAAGCAAGAAAGTGTGAAAAAAACACTTAGGAAAAAAACAAAAAAGAATGGACTGACTGACTGACTTTTTATAGTTTGCACAGCAAACATTTTACACAAGTTTTATTTCTAATATGTTTTATATGTAGATATAGAAGGGTGCACTTTTTTGTATTTCATAGTAAGCTTAAAGAGTGTTTTTGCAGGTGCAGCAACTTCTTTCAAATGTGGGGTTTTTTTCGTTTCTTTTTCCTTTTTCTTATTTCAGAAAATTATATCTAGTAATATAATAAGAACCACGTAAGCACCCCTTTGTCCTATGAATTGGACATGCTGCAGTTTCTAATGAATTATGCAGTTTCAATTAGTGCTGTTATTTAACACAGCTTTGGATGGGCAGGTGATGTAAATTTAAAGCATGTGACACTAGCGTGTGAAACTTAATTATTAAGTTAGATGCATATATTTGAAAGATGCTTCTGCACCTTAAAAACTGCTAGTCTGAGGTGGACAGCAACACACATAAAAAGGAACTGTTGATGTGTGATTCAGTAGCGAATGTATGGCAATTTAAATAAGTTTAGTTTCTCTCATAGTCCGTGAGCCTGTTTATCATTTGCTATGAAAACTCCTATTTTTACCTTGCTGGGGTTATTGGATAAAAAAAAAAAAATATTTTTATAAATTCATTAGAAATTGGGATGACGACTGTATTAAGCAGGAGGAGAAAAAAAAAAAAAATTTCCAGAGGGGAAAAATAAATGTTTAGTATTCCTATTTGGAAGGTCTGAAAACTGACCCAATTTAATAAACAAGCCTACAGTAGCATTCTATGATTCTCAGCTATCCCACAGTGATATACTATATTTGATAGTAGCATAAGAAGGGCCCACTCTTTGATGGGATTTTGATATTGTCAAACATTGATTTATATTATGTGTAAACTAATATTCAAATTACATAACTCTGTATCTAGACTTGTATCTGAAAATATTTGCTAAATGACTATTCAGGTGAGTAAATTCAAATACCCACAACTTTTCCAGTTACTAGATGAATTTAACAGTTTATAGTTTGTACAACTGAATCTGAAAAAAATGAAAAGTTGCCTACTATACAGTCATGAATTCTGCTATTTTATTGCATTTGAAATATTTTCCCCTAATACGAAAAGAAATATAACTTATGGATTTATATAAAAATTTCTTCAAATCTGAAGTTTACTACCAGAATATACAGGCTTTATTAGAGTAGAAAATCCTTGTGTGTCATTTAAAAACAAAGAGCTGTTGTGAAAACAGCTGGTTTTTTTTGGTTTTGGTTGTTTTTTTTTTTTGTGGTAACGGTTCATTTATTTTCCCAAAGTTTGAAGTCTGTGTCTGTCTATCCACGAACTTTTGGAACTTTTGTATTTCCCTTTGTCAAGTACAAATAACAGATTCTGGGAGCCTCGTGGTATGATCAAAATCCTCCTTTTAATCACTGCCTATTTGTCACAGTGAGGGGTTGGATCAGAACTTCCTTCTGGTTTAGACCAAATCTAGTTGTGTTTCTGATGCGACAGGGAAAAAAAGATGTTAGATTTTAGACTTTGTATTTGATCAAAGCCCTTGGACAGATGCAAGTATTTAATTGAATACTTAATTTGTGCTTCACAGGACACTCAGGCATGTGGGTCCCGTTGATTTCAGTAGGATTGGCACATGTGCTCTTGGACGTGCTTAAATGGTTGGAAGGTGGTCACTGCAGATTCCAAAGCAGGTGTGAGTTGGTGTGAAGAAAAACTTATGGAAGAAATGTCAGTAGCACTGCCATATGCACATGGAAAATAATACTAGTTTTCAGTGACTAGTATCTATTTAAAAAAAAAAAAAAATGGTGTTGGTTTTACTCAACACAAGTGATGTTTCTGCTGTGGCACTCACTTATTCCTGGCAGAGGATCTTCCTTAGTTCAAATGCTGTAATGATCTGCTCCACTGGAGTGGTAATTCCTAAAGAAATTGTTTTCTTCTGGCTTCTCTGCTTTGCCACTGATGTGGGGTGTTTGTTAAACAGCACAGTAAATGAATAATGAAAGGTTTAATTAGGAAGGTGTTGACATAGCATAACTATCTCAAAGGCTGTTGTCAAATCCAGTTTGACCCCAAAATATTTTAAAGGACAGAAACTATGTATGAATCCTGCTCCTTTGGAAACATTCAACCTACTGCCCCTACAAAAGATAACTGAGATTACTGGAACAGAGAGACAGATTCTGTGTTTTTAATTGTTTGTGATTTAACTCCAAAAGTGCTTCATCACCCCCACAGTTTCCGTTATACAACAGGTCATGTTGGTTGGTTGGTTTGGAGTTTTTATTCAGCCACTCTTGTTTATGTTTACTAGACCTTTAATCCTTGTACTTGTAGCACGTAGGCAGAGGAATAATCTGCTTTTTAGTGAGTACAGGCCCATGGACAAACACCTGCTTTTCCAAATCAGGCTGTGCTGGAGCACCAGGCTGTTTTTCACCATATCCTTTCCTTCCCTGACCAGCTGTTGTTGCCTCAGGCTTTCCCCATCCTGCTTCCAGTTGGGCTTGCAAGCAGCTCATCCAGCTGATCCTGGGGGTAGCAAACAGCCAGCAGTGAAGGGAAGGGTAAACCAAAGTGGGCAAAACTTCCATCCTTTGGAGATAGCGTGGCAATGGGCATTTGCCCACACCTCAAAACTATGAGGACTGAGATCCTAAAAAGAGAGAAGGCATTAAAGCAATTTCATATCTATACAGCCAACTGGAAGAGGCTTCAGGAATATGTTGTTATGTGCCACTTGGAACTCAATTGGAAACAACCAAGCCTCAGGGTTTGCAAACTTCTGAAAGTGTGTTTTTCAGAAAGAAGCCATTATCTAGTCAGCTTTTTTTTTTTCCCTTTTTTTATTCCCTCCACCCTCCATGCAGCAGAAGTTTTATTTCTTCTGAAAAATTTGCAACCTTGTGTTCAGCTACTTTATCAGTACCCAGAGACTGAACTGTACAGAGTTTACTGTGAAAGGGGAATATGGAATAGTTTCACTGTAAGATTAGAAACATGAAAACATAGGGATGTGAATTCCTAAAACTGGAAAGGCTTTACCAGTATAATCAAAGGTATTGCTTAACATATGAAACCCAAACCTTTTCTTTTAATTCAGTGAGAATTCTGTAGTGGGTGTGAACTGCACAGGAGTGCTTGTTCTTCTCTTGGTTTTAAAAAAGAAAAAGTGGTGTCCTTCATTTTTCCTGTATAAGAAAACTTTGCTTTCAGCAAAGTTTCACCATTCAGGAAAGGTACATGTTTACATTAGTTAAAAAGTCTTTATAGGGAACATAAATTTAAACCCATATGTAATTGCCCCCCTGCCCCCCTGCCCCCAAGTAAAGTCATATTCATATGCAATAGAACTAATTTTTTTAAAAATCAATGTGATTCTTCTGCAGTTATGATTATTGAAACTTATAATTTTTATTTTTCTAACCCCAAGCAGGGTTCTCAGTCCAGTTTTTTCAAGATTCCTGTAACAGGCAAGGCAATTTCCTGTCGCTTTTTAACTTTGGAAGCATTGCAGTTTAGTAAACCAATTCCAAAACGATCAGGATATATTTCTAAATGACTGTTACAAAGAAATAATCATGTTAGAAAATATTTAGAATCATCTCTGGCTCTGCAGTGGGTTTTTTCTACGTCTGGATATTGTGTCAAAGTGGAGTCCTGCTGACCTCAGGGAAACTCCATAAGGCTCCATATCAGGCTGCATTTATCTGCCAGGGAATTGGTTCCTTGTTCTGGTACCTGATCTCTGTTAGGAACTCTTTGGAGAGCCCTCCAGCTTTATTTTGCCTGCATACCTGGGTGTTCTTCCAGTGGCAACCAGGGTATGGATGAAGGGCTTGGAAGGGCAGGAACTCATGTTGGCCTGGTGTGCACCACGTAATTGTTTTGGTATTCAAAATGCAGCCAAGAAGCCAGACCCACAGTGAGGAACTGGAGTTCCCAGTTCCTGTGCTTCCAGAGTAGGTTCAGGTTTATGGATATTCTAGTGGAATGAAGCCACAAAGACTTAATGCATGAATAACATGTGGATTTGGTTCTGGAAGAATTAGAGGTTCATCTTCCTGACTTTATGAACTTGACAGCCCACAGGATGAAACAAAGCCTTTCCAAGGGATGATAGTTGCACTTAAACAAACAAAAATCCAGAACACCCTGGTATTTTGAAAAATTGGAACACGTGCATTTAATTGTAATTAAAGATGTTTTAACATTTATTTTCTGAAGCAGTCATCTTGGGAGGAAAAAAAATTAATAAGTATTGGTCTATGCAAGACACAAATGTCAAAACTGTGTAAATTACCCATTTTTAGGTGCTGTATTATTGTTGTCTTTCTGACTTCTGTTACTTTGATTAGTCTTTTCATCAGCCTTTCAGCCTTACATTCAGCTTAGAGTTGAATAGGCAAAGTGTAGTTTTGAAATCCTGTTGGAAATGTAACTACCCTTCATTCCCTCATGGAAATCTCGCATGTTAAACAGTTAAGTGAAATGTTTTTGGTTTCCTAATAATAAATTCAGACTCTTCACCACCTCCTGAAAACAGCATATCCATGAACATGCACGTTTAATTGTGGTGTGCAAACGATCAAATCATCAGCCTTGTGCTGGGGGCACTTTGCTCTTCCCTCTTCAGTGCAGCTGAAGCAGCAGCAGGTTCATTTTGCCAAGCTCGATGTGGATTCCTTTCCCCCCACCCCCTGCCTTTGGCATGCTAAACACCTTCAAATAGGTTTTGGGTTGTTTAATTTTCAAGGCCTGAAGTAACCTGATCGTCCAGTGTGTAAAGCACAGTGAGATTGCCACTAAGGTGCTTTTAAGTGATTGCCCAAATCAGGTTATCTGTTCATTCTTGTCACCTGGAAACATCAAATATGCTCCTTTTCTGTGACTTAGTTCTTTAGGACCTGCTGAGTGATCACAGCTGGTTTTGCCAGAGAAAAGCAAGGTGTGAGAAGGCAGTGAAATGCCTTTCCAACCTTGTGG